TTTTAAAATTACAGGCAGAAAACAATTGTATGCTTTCTCGTTTGTACTGAGAATTACCAGCTACTGTAGTGTGGACAGATTGTATGAGAACAAAAAAACAGCCTAATTCAAAAGTTGTTTAACAGCCATGTTTATGTCTTGCCAATAACATAAAAGCACAAAACGCCAAACTTACACAGGGATATTATAAAAGTAATTTAAGGTTGTTTTTGAGATTGTTTTATCAAAACACCACCACAGACCTTCTGTTCCTGGATAAAACCAGGTCTGGCTTTTTCCTCCTCTTCCCTTCAGCAGCTCTTTTTCCGCTGCAAACATGAACATACCATCGTGTGACCCAAAAACACTGAATGATACCAAAAATAAGATGTTATTTACTGGTTTAATGTTATAACATTTATTATTAGGGTTTCTGTCTGGGACGCAACTTCTTAAACAACTTTTAATTCGGTGTTACCGGTCACTTCTTGAATTGTTGAGGACCACTGTCCATATCGGCAAAAAAAAACAGACCAACAACAGAGCCGCATTACATAAAAATCCTCTCGGCTTTTCTGCCGTCTCAGACGTACGTTACCGTCGGTAGTTTTGTTGCATTGAAGAAACAAATTCCATCACTTTAAATTACACTGTAAAAATTTACCAGCTGCTCATTCTGCGGGTCGATTATGAAATTCCCCCGAAGAAATCAAATATGTCATGGGAAGGTCATTGTTGGTGTAATTTACTTTACCCATTAGCATGAAAAACACAGTAAACTAATTTTTTTGGATGAATTTAGTTAATGGTCTCCCCCCGTTCCACATGAGCTAGTTAGCCGCTGTTAGCTACCTCCTGGCTGTATCCAGCGCCCGTTTCATGCTCCGTAGGAGCCTGCAGCTTCGAGTCTTCAAATGTCAACCTCTTCGGGCGCTTCATCGTCACTGGACGAGCATTAAAGTGAAATTTTCCTTCGTTTTTCGTTATTCGCCGTCCTTTGACTGTGAAGTTGTTTTCCCCTAACGTTGTTTCTTCGCCATGTTTTGTTGTGACGTTCAAAAAGATGGGGACTTCTGGGAACATCTTGCCCTCTTATGGCGGAGAGGAGGATCACAATTAAATAATATCAAGTAATTTAAAATTTTTTATTTTCTAAATTAAAGCAATTATTTAACTTTGTAAACTTTTTAATACCGTAGGGTTTAATATATTTGTCATTGCTACACTTTATATTGACTTGGCTTTTATTTTGATCTTTTTAAAATGGGGTCTCTTATTTTGAAATGGTAGACAACAAAGCAAAGCCATCAAGACATTTTTATTAGCACTTTTTGTCAGCACCACCAACATTTCTAGAGATTTAAAAAGTGCATAGAAATTATAAATAACTATATATCAAAGCGAAAACACATAAAATTAATATAAAAAAATATATGATAATAAAATCTCTGTAGTTCCATTTAAATTCTGGCTTTTGTGTGAAAGGACATCCGAAAACCTTCAGCTAATTCTAGAGAGCTATTGTGGGCCGGCAGGTGCAGCCCGCGTCGCGATAAACAACTACGGGCTAGCTAACGGACTCTCCTTGTTCATGCCACGTTCTGTGTTTGTGGTTTCTGGCCGGAGGCATCAGTTTCTCGGCCTCCCCAGGGGTAATATCACTAAGGCGGCGGGCCCTGCCTCGCCCCGCTGCCAGTTGAGTGCAGGTGCTGGTGCTTACGGACCACAAGGCACCGGGAGGAACAACCCTGCAGCCGTTCCTACCGGGACGGGCCTGTTTAACCAGAGGATCCGAATCCTGCAACAGCACAAAAGACAAACAACACCCCTTCAGAAGTAAGATCCTCTCCTAAACGATTTGTTTTTAATATCAGCCTATTGCACCGCAGGGTAAAAATTATATCGTAAATAAATAATAAAATTGTATTATCGCTGCAGTGATATACATTTCTCAACAATTATCTTTTATTTGAATATCACAGTATTGTAGTATTGTTTACACAAGTGATAATATTTTTCAGAAAAATATCTCCACTCCTTTAACCCTCCCCCAGTAAATACAGTAAATTGAAATTGCATAAAAAGGAACCAAATTATACATGGATGGAATTACAAAAAATTCAATTTAAATAAACATTACAAATACAATAAACCAAACAAAACAGATAAAAAAGTACATTTACTATTATAATAAATGATCACCAATACTAGCTAACCAGACATGCACATTTATTTTTATTAAAGAGTTTCATTAGTAAGGCTTTACTTGATGTTTAAATGTTAAATGTTACTTATAACAGGCTTTAAAATTCATAGTAATAAGCCCGTAATATCAACAAAAAACTAGTCAAAAGGTTTGAATTTTTGTGTTCTGATTTGTAAAGCAGTGTTTGTTGTAAAATCTAGTAGGCACGTAGCTATCTTAAAACTGTATATTAATTCACATAAAAACAAATTATAAATGATAGGAATAAAACAAAAAATCAATAAGTACAATAAAATAATCTACAAATAAATGTTAACAATAAATATAAGACGCATTTTCTAATAAGCCGCCTTTTAAAGACATACTTTTTAAATAATTATTACATTAATTAATGAACAATAATTAAATTTAACAGCTGGAGGTCGAATTCAATGTTCAACACGATGATGTGTTTAATCCACCTGTTGGACCCCCAAGAAAGCCAAAAAAAGATATAAGCTAACATGCAGGCTTGTGAATGAAATCCTGTGTCCACATGTATTTTTTTTCAGTTCCATTGTTCTTATACAATACAAACAGTCATACGGGGGAACACCCTCATTTGGATAAGAAAAAAACCTTCACCCAAAAAAAAGGGCCTGCACTCTCTTTGGTCTCACCTTGCTTTCAGGTTTTTGAGTACATCTACCTGTACCAGAGCTGTGATGTTCCAGATTTGGTACCAGAAGACCAAAGGACTGCTCAAAAAAGATCGCGCTACGGAGCACATCCCTATTGACCACCTCCCGAAAACTCCACCTTCGAGGACGTTTTACTTCACGGAGGCCCTGGAACAATTTGGAGGTTCCAGGAGTGGTCCAGACAGGAAGCCGCCTGTCACGGAGTAGTCGGGTTTTTTAACGCACACCTGTGGCGTCTTCCAGTCACAATGCTTGGCCTTTTATAATACAGAGAAAACATCAAACAAGAGATGCAGACGATTTGGAACTTAGTGTTCCTTTAGCAACTTTTAGCAACAATAACATGTTTGGGATTAAAAGGTGGTTGGTGTGCTCCAACTTAGTACTGCATGTAGAGCATGTTCCTAAGGTAATTAATCTCACTTATTCTTTTACTGTATGGCTGCCTGCTGCCATAAGAATGTTTAATTTCTCATTTGGGCTATTTAATTATTATCATTATTATTATTATTTATTATATAATTCTTAATATATTTATCTATTATTATTTATTACTTATTATTTTGTTAAATTATAACCAGGCATTGCTCGGAGAATAATATGCTCCTTTATCCTGTCGATTGTAGTACCAGTAAAAAGCCAATAATATGCTGGCTGTTGATCTAATTTACGAAATGAAGAAAAAACTTTCCAAGGGACTTTCAGTGCTGAGTATACCTTTCTCCCCTGGCTTGGCAACCTGCCAACGGAAACCATTCTAGGTAAAAAACTCGAAACAGGAGAGGAAACATTCCGAGTTACGATTTTACGAAGTTAACCAGTGTGCCAAACCCCATCCTGAAGGAAATTAAATTGATCCTGGCAACAAAGAGTTGGCATGTGTCCTGGTTTCCAAAATTGTTACTAGTCTTCAGTTTATTGGTTTTGGGTCTCTTCTGTCTTATTAGTCAATTGTGTAATGAAGAGTCGGAGTAAAAAATTCCACTGACCTCAAATGGTATCTAGCTTTCCAAACATATTGTTTTGTCTTCCAACCTTGTTCTAATCTTTAAGATATCTGTTCCATTCGTATCTCTCCTCTATTCTTCCAAACCACTGGAGGTGAATGATATTTAACAATTTTCTTCGACATCACTCAAAACGCTTATGAACCTGGCTGGGCAAAAACATTTTTAATATGGTTTCATTTTTAAGATCGTAAAAAATTTTAAAGTTCAAAAACTTACACATAAAAGGAAAACAAATAAACCTGCTCTATGAGTAGATGG